ATGAGCACACTGAGATTAAAGCACTTTCTGGGTTTTTCCTGTTTGGGGCAGGGAGAGGAGAAAGGCTTTTTAAGAAGGTAGGAACCAACAAGCCATGAGAACTTTTAATCCCAAAAAGAAAGGACTAGCTAGCACTTCCTATTGTTCTTCCTAGAAAGCTGATTTAGATCAGAAGAGTGACCTCTTAAGGTCTGCCCCACCCACCCACTCAGAGTGGAGTCATGTCACTCGCCCACAGCACAGTGTCATCTTGTAGTGATTAAGGAGGTCATCCTTCAAAGAAGGCCAGAATTATACTGGGAATTTACACCAGTGTTAAGTGTATACATAGTGGTTATAAAGTGTCACTAATTTTAACTTGCTGTTCATGTTTCTCATTGTGCTATTAGCAGCAATCTATTAATTAGTAATAATTCAATATGGTAATTTACACAGTGACACTTAAACTGGCATAAATCCCCAATAGGATTCTGGACACACATTATTTTTCCCTCAGCACCCTGCTCTCACCTCTCATCCTCCATTCCCTTATTTTTCAGTGGATACCCATCTTTGTCATCTTTAAAATCCTTCAGAAAGTTATGTAATATAGAACGGTGACTATTGCATGACAATCTACGCACATGTAGCACACTTCATATGAAATATAAAAACAGCCTTCTAATTAAGAATGTTTGTAAAATTGAGAGCCATTTCGGCCAAAATCTTAGAAATAGTTCTTTTATTTGATCCCTCACACTGTGCATTTTCCTCATACATACACTCAAGCAACTAACTGGGGAAGGACACACAAACAAAACACCACAAAGTTGCAAGACAGTCTGTGGAACTGGCTTATGTTATAATAGTTTGTTCAAAACCAGTTTTTTTTTTCAGTTTATTCATTCCCTTTGAACTCTCTGTTCAATAGTTTATTCAAGTCAATTTCCTAAAAGATAGCGGAATTTATTTTTTTCCCTCCGGAGATTACAAAAGTCATTTAACAGAACAGATATATTTTTGAAATAGATTTTTTAGGGAATTCTCCAGTTCATTTTTGAACGATAAAAGTATGAAGGAACATATTTCACAAAATTTGGGCTACATCCATTGTCTTCCCGCCAAGAGGGGGACAAAGCAATGCATAAGAAACACAATTGTCTTGCAAGTACTTGCTATTTTTTCTTTCATAACAATTTCCAAATGTACTGTCTTTAACATATTTTTGATCAACACTCATAATGTTGCACCCCATGTGTTGATCATACACTCCTTGAGCTCATTTCAACATTCCATGTATTCTTTGTGACCTTAATTCTCCAGGAAACAGCCTCAAAAGGAGAGGCTGAAAATGCTAATGATTTAAGCAGCTAGGATTTTTTTTTAATTTTAGCAGTAGCAACCAATCTTCACACTTGGGGCTTTCCTGTGTCCTTGCTAAATGTGGAATTTTTAGAATCATCAGTCTACTGATATGATATGACTACAGGCGTGTATCAGAATGGGAAAGAAGCAGTTTGTATCTCAGAATATACACTGCTGTTGATTTTTTCCCTTTCTCATCTCACTAAACATGCTCATCGTTGTTCTGAGGCCATGGTGCCTGCCATATTTAGCTGAAATATTTTATGCTCTCCCCCAGCCAAGAGAATTCAGATCCTTCAGCAAATCAAGTCACAGATACGGCATTCTATCTGTACTCTAAAGTTTGCACTTGTTCCTCTTCTGTTGGAGGCACCGATTCAGAAGACTGAGTAGATTATTCATGTTGCATCCTGTCCTTCAATCTAAAAGTCTCGCTTCCATGATTAAAATGATTTTTAAAAAACATTACTAAAATCATGAACAAAAACAAAGAAACTTAAAACATCTATTTTCAAATTTAATCACAGAGCTAAAGGTCTACGAAAACACAATAAGATTTTTCATGATTATCTCAAAATGACTGAATGCTCCTTCACAATGATGCTACTGTGTCAGTTGCAGAACTGTGAAGAGGCACAGAAGGACTCTTGATGATTGTCTCCCTCAGACCGTCCCCACTTTCAAAAAAACCAATTGAAGAACACTCTCCAGCTAGTAAAGGACTCTATCAGGTGAACTCTGAACTCTGTCTAGGAAAACTTCTGCTCTGGTTTTCAAGGCTCAGTGTGGAGTCAGTATGGATTTTGCAAGCAGGTATTTTAATAAACTTCAATTCTGTTCTAAGTTAGTGGATTTATATTTCTGTGACACCTGTTTCTAGGATGGGCAAAAAGAGGAAACTGACCAAAGGAATATTTAAAGCAAACATATCCATAATGTTCCTTAATTTTTCTTTCAATCTTCCTTTTAAAAATTAGAAATTCAAAGAAGATCTCTTATTCGTCAGTATCAATCCCACCTTCCACAGTATTACAGTTTATCTACCATGAGTTACTTCCTGCATTTTGACAGTAATACACAGGTCAGCCAAAAGTAACTCATTTCTATGCTATAAAAGGTTTATTCAACAACATTCAAGTTGCAGGTTCCAGCTGCAGACTCAGATTTAGATTTCCGTTTAGAACTGGCCTTGAGTTTAAAAAAGTTTGGGCAAACGGACACTAGCTATCAGAGGACACTAAGCTCAGGGGGAAGGGGTAGTGATAAGGCTGTTGCAATTAGCACAAAATCAGGATGTTTGGCTGAAAAGCAGCAATACCCTAGAGTAAAGTTTGATGCAACACTAGAAAGACTTCCCATGGCATACTCAAATTCCCACCTGCAACTATCAGGCCTAACACAGAGAACAGAACACTACTCTTCAAAAATAATTCATTCCTGTTACCTGTGGAGGAGGGGTCATGAATTTCCACTGGAGGATTCACCACATTGCTCATGTAAAAAGCAGTTATTTGGCAATGCCCTTTAATGATGCCTTTCTGACACAATGCTTTTTAAAATGCTTTAAAAAAAAGGACTTAAAAATAAAAAAGTCATCTCTGACAAGTAACATTAAAAGTAACACTGTACTGTAAATACTACGTACCTTCTTTAAAATCCCTTCTTTAAAAGCTACAATGTAACTGCCTTTTACTTTTCCAAAAGATACAGGTAATGCTATTATTCTAAACGTGGTACATTCAAGCATCCAATACTGTTCCATAAAAAGGGAAAAAGCCAGCTAGCCTTTTCAGTGGCACAGAACACTGCTTTTATTACAACAGAGTAAAACAGAAGTGATTGACACAGTAAAGAGGAACTCCATAGTATACTGCTTATACTTCATTTGTATAGTACCTATATCAAAACTGAGCAAAACAGATATAAAACTGAATGCTAACAGGAGTCAAAATATTTCTTTAAGAACTGAGTTTTTTGGGTAATGGAGGCGAGTGTTGTTTTCAATAGAGCCCAGACTGCTTTGGAGTTGAGGTGCGGAGGATTTAACCCTTCCCTCCATAGTTGTATACCGCCCCCCTCACGCAAACACAAACCATCCCCTGTGCTAAATTAGACCTTGGGGGCAAAAAAATTCCCAATGGTTATACAACATTTTTTTAAAAAAAAAGTTTAGAAAACACACATTCAGTTAAAAAACAAAAGACAAAACTAATCTCAATAAATAGCAGCAGAACCAGAAAAGAAGGGTAGCAAATATTAAAATCAAAGGTCTTCTTGGCTCCTGCTTTTGGGTATTCCTATTTTAATATGAAAAGTGTAAGCAATTTCAATGTCTGAGAAAATGAATAGTTTTTCAATTTGAAAAAAGTCTCTTACGATAGCAATATTTTCACATATCAGTACAACTTTTATGTCCAGGTTCTAATTTTCCAGAATCTTTTTTAAAAAAACCTCAAATGCAAATCTATAATACATAAGAATTCAATTCAAGACACTCATTATTAAAATAGAATCAAATTATTTTATTTAAAATGTACTATTAGATACTGAATCTCGAGGATCTAAAAAAAGAAACTAGAGATTAACTATTAATCAAAGGTATCACCTCATTTTATTTGAGAGGATCTCACTTTACTGCAAGTTTAAAAATTAGAGAGTGTAAAAAGAGCTGTGAAGCAGCATGTAAAACTCATGAGAATAATTGGAGATTATACAAGTATGACAACTAAATGAAAAAAACACACACACCAGTGGATCATTAAAAGTTGGCATGCATCACATACCGTGTTTCCCTGAAAATAAGACAGGGTCTTCTATTACTTTTTGCTCCCCAAACACATTAGTGCTTATTTTCAGGGGATTTCCTTTTCATGTACAATCATCTACATTTATTCAAATACAGCCATGTCATCTTCTGGTTGCTGCACAAGGGGGGAGGGCGGGGTTTCACTGAACTGGGGCTTATTTTTGGGGTAAGGCTTATATTATGAGCATCCTGAAAAATCCTACTAGGGCTTATTTTCAGGTTAGGTCTTATTTTCATGAAAACAGGGTAGTTTGGAGTGTTGTGCTTTCTTTATCAGACACAGATGCTATAATCCGTTGGGAGACTGGAGGAGAAACAAGAAGCTGAGAAAGACCGGCTAGGTGTGGTAGCTGTGGAAAGCAGAAAGAAGGTTGGAAAAGTAAGATGGAGCTTACAAACTGAGTGTAAAAGAAGTTGTCAGGGTAAAAGAAGTTATCCCCATCTGTTAGCACTCTGGCAAAAGATGACTGAATATAAACCCCTTAAATTAAACAGAAGTAATACGTACATGAATGTAAATACAGTAACTACATATTACAAAACAGCTCAGACTTGAACCAAAAGGCAAGAATAAGTGTGATGAGGCAAAGAAAGCTTCTAGCACCTTGATTTCATACACGCATCCACTTGGCAAGCATTCTGCTAGTTACAACAGCAGAAAGCTATTTCCTTTTTCTCCCTTAAACTCTTTAGGAAGTTGAATAATTATGTCACAAGCGGAGAGGCTAATCTACCCTTGTAAGAAGGCTGATGATTTAGATTGCTGTTAGGGTTGCAGAATAAGTATCAAGAGCCACTAAAACCAGCTGCCCTTCTCACGTACTTAGTTCCAAAAGCAGTGGATACTCACTAAAGGTCTTGCAGATGTCCGATACCGCTTTGAAGACTCTATCGGAGAAATTGACTTTCACCTTCACGTACTTCATGTTGGGAAGCTGGAGCCGGAGCAGTTTGTGTTGAGGAGTGAACTGCAGTCTTGCATCCGCCTGTATTCCATACTTATCCAAAGTCCAGTGAGTTTTAAGGAGCCAGGTCTTCTTCTTTTCCCACCACAGAGCATGGTCAGACCAATCTTTCTTGACATCTGCAAAACAAAAGGTAGAAGATTAGGAATTAGACTCATGGAAACACTTCAGTTGACTTCCTCTTTAGCAAGAATCAAGATATGTGTAGATGTATTTGGCTCCTCTGCATAGCCACTCCAAAGGAGGCCCGAAAGTCATCCACAGGAAGTAGAGCCTCTTTGCAGTGGCACCGACTTTATGGAATCAGCTTCTGGAGGAATTATGTCTGGATCCCTCCCTGTGGTTGTTTAGGAGGCAAATTTAAAAAATTGCTTTTGACCTTTTACATGGACCGGGGTTGATGGTTCGCCCCTGTTCTGCTAGTCCTGGGATATTGTCTCTGGCACCATTTAGGTTTTATGGTGTTAGTTTTAATTTTATTGCTTATTTGTTGCTTAATATATGTTTTAGCTTTAACTGCCCAGAACAGTGCTTCTGCACTATTGGGGTGGGTGGGTAGGTGGGGGGGAGGGAGGAAGGAAAGGCAACTATTAGTCTTTCTCTCTCATCACTGTTTTACTCCCCAGACTCCCCAAACAATTAACTATAGATAAACAAATTAACGAGATTAAAACAGATTCAAAATCAGATCCAAAACTGTCTCCTGAAGCCAGTTTTATTACTTCTGTGACTAACTAATTAAGTGCCACCAGTCATTCCTTTACCATAATTTATTCCATTCAATAAAACAATTATTCTTGCAAGACTCTGGAATGACATAAGCACTACAACTCTATGGTATGAAAACATACCAGCAAGACACACATGTTGAGGCTCCTTCAAGGCCACATCCTCACAAGATAGTTCTGTGAGACTACCTGAAGTAGACAGAGCAACTTAATAAACCATGCACCAGCTTCTCAGATGGATCAATGTCATCAGCAGGCATCAAAGCAGAATCTGCAAAGCTGATTTTTAAGGTACAGAAAGGATCGTATCAGTGAAGGCAGTCCTTCAATTAATGTTTGCATTCCTAAAACATTTAAGGAGCTATTAACAGCAGGACTTTTGAGACCTGAACCCCAAAATATACTGCTAATCAGTGTAACTGGTGAAAAACCCATGTATGCATGTAAGAGGGACAGTCAGAGAAACTGCAGAAGCAAGAGAGGGGTGGTGGGGCAGCTAGCAGGCAGGAGGAAGCAGGTGGAGCCAGTTGCAAGGGGGGAATAAAGGGGGAGGAAGAGGAAGAGGAGGTAGAGTGGCTGGAAGCCCAGGAAGAACAACTGCCAATCTTCTTTGCCCTGGGGAAGGAAGAGGTGAGTGAGCCCTTTACTCTCTGGGACTTCTGAACTGGTCTATAGAGTACTTTCACTCGGGTCCAGGAGATGGTGAACCAAGCATCACACACCACTGTGCCAGGACCAGGCAGGAGATGGCTTGGATGCCCCTCTGATTTGCAACCAGGGGATCCCACTCCCAGCCAGAAGCGCTGCTGTCAATACCAGCAGTTGGTGCATCTGATTTGGGAAAGGAAGAAGCAGCTGTGACTGCAGGGCCAGTTTCTATCTGGGAATACTGGCCATTGTTGAAAAAAGGCCTGACCGCTGAGGCTAATGATCTCCACTCAACCCTTGCTGTGGACTATTAAAGACCAGGGTCTAGTGAACCTAACCAGGGCCCAAGAAAAAAGACTAATGGGAATCAGGGAAAGGGTCATAGAGGAGAAGCAGGGCAATGTGTTTAATACTCCAGTAAAACCAGCTGCACCTGTTAACCCAGCTGTTAAGCCGACAGAGCCCATGGTGAAGGACTTGGGCCTGCCATCCTGGGTTCAGGAAGGTATCACAATGTGTGTTTCCTGTGGGTGAAATCCTGTTGCATATTGTAGTAAGTGGCACTAATGCAGTTCCAATGAATCAGTGGGGATTTGGCAAGTCTATGCCCCCATAAATTCCATTGATTCAAATGGGCCTACTCTAGTTTCTACTTCAGTGTAGTAAATCACAATTAGAGTAGGCTTATTTGATTCAATGCATGGAGGAGCTGACTCAACAAACATCCAATGAATCAATAGGCCTGGTTAGGGTGGCATACTATACTAAGCAACAGGATTTTAGCCATGTTCTGTCATCAAGCAGCCAGCTGCATTTTACATGACCTGAAATTTCTGAACCCTCTTGGAATGTAATTGCATTCCGAGCATACTACAGTAATTGGTAAACAAGAAGCCTTTCCAGTGATGATCCCATATTTATGGAACTGCACAAGATAACAGCTAACTCCCTCCTTATCCTTACTTTGCTGTGCTTTACTAAATTTATTAGAAACCCACACCACTTTCAAGGGGTGTAATTTGTGTTGCATCTTTCAGAATGTAATCTTACGACCGACTTTTTGTAAGTTATATTTGTAAATATGGGCCTTTGGAGGTGAACAGTGCCACTGAAACCAGAGTACAGGTTGCTGTCCTCTGAAGATGCTGGCCACAGAGACTGGCAAAACGTCAGGAAGAACAACCTTCAGAACACGGCCAAAGAGCCCGAAAAACCCAGAACAACCATTAGATCCCGGCCGTGAAAGCCTTCGCGAATATATTGCCACTGAAACAATTTTGCACAAATAAATAAAACTTAGAGGTGTGCCTAAATTTCACAATGCTGCAGTGTCGGCTAAGAGCACAGATAATGACATGCCAAACATGCTGAGAAACACTACCCTATAAACAAGGCTAAGCATGCACATGATGAGAGAGGAACATAGATATGATTCTGGGGAAGGAACTGAGGAGTAGCTTCTTGAGATACTTGAATGTCATTAAGAAAAGCTTCTAATGATGGCTACAAAAAGTTGTTGGGAAAATACACAGGTATCTGACCAATGAAAAGCTGCCTATCTAGCATTTCTAGTGCTTGAGGTCAAGGCTTTGGTGCCATGCACAGCTTCTGGCTCCTATTCTGGTTAACAACCAAAGTGGAGTTGTGTAAATAATCATTTCTATTTCCTTATTTTATGTAAGAAGATTGCCGAATTTGGCTTTGCCTAGCAGATTTTCCATCGTCTGTGATGAGTTATAAACTATAAGATTATTCATCAGCTGAGCAAGCATGACAAAGTCCCCCACTCATTGCAGTAAGAGTTCCATGCTAAGAAGGTGGAAGACTCCTCCGCATCCCACTCCCAAGTACAGGAAACAACTTCTGTTGTCACAAAGACAACTTTATACCACAACAGATAAGTTACGGTCATAAGACTGGGCTGCTCAACTTGAAAAATCTGAGGCCTGTTTTGGAGAAAATCATAATCTGAATTTCTGGGGATGGGGTGGGAAGCCAAGCCAAGCCAAGCAATAGTTGACTTTTAGAACAGAATAAGCATCATGAAACTCCCTGTTCACTATTTAAAGAGAAGCCAATTCCAGCACTTTAAAACAGCTAGAAAACAGGAGTGGCAGCCATGACTTTCAACAGCGCACCATTCAATCATCAAATTAAACAAAACCAAATATAGAAAAGCATGCAGCTTGCTATGAGCCTTGGCTGCTCTCAGAAAAATCCATCACAGGATTACAGTGAACTCTGGGTCCAACTTTCACTTCTCTGAAAAATGCTAAGGGTGGACGTGACACTGAAAGCAGCTTCCAGGATTGCTAAGCACTTCAGCTGCCTGAGATGTAGATGCATGTGGTCGACTCAAGAATGCCACAGCCTCTGACACAACCTCCTTCAAGAAAAGCCTACTAACAAATAGTAGAAAAAGAAGTATTTTTAAATGCACAGTTCCCAACTGTTCTACAATACTTGTTTGAGCTTCTGGTATATACTGGCCCAGTGCAGAAACAAAACAGACTCCAAACTGTGATGAAAAGATTTAAGAGTGAACATTTTCCAAAGCGAATTCTCTACTCTTCTCCCTTTTTTGGGTCCTTAAACCATGGCTCATCCAGATTATACCTATAACACTCCTCTATAGAAGATGGTTCCCAACTGTTCTACAATACTTGTTTGAGCTTCTGGTATATACTGGCCCAGTGCAGAAACGAAACAGACTCCAAACTGTGATGAAAAGATTTAAGAGTGAACATTTTCCAAAGCGAATTCTCTACTCTTCTCCCTTTTTTTGGGTCTTAAACCATGGCTCATCCAGATTATACCTATAACACTCCTCTATAGAAGTGAAGACCTGGAAAACGGTGTAAGATTAGATAATGATTGTTCCTGTCTGCATTGTAGAATTCAGTATGGTTATAAAGCTTGACTTGATAATTCAAATAGGCTGGTGCTCTTCATTACTGTAAATTATTTATGAGACTCCTCCTGGCTAAACCATGAGTGGCTGGAAAGTAGACAGATCTCTAGAGCGGTGGCTCTAAGCATGGGTGCTCCAGATGTTCTTGGACTAAAATTCCCAGAAGCCTTCACCCCTAGCTGTGCTGGTCAGGATTTCTGAGAGTTGTCCTGTAAGAACATCTGAAGAACCAAAACCTGGAACCACTGTTCTAGTGTTACATCTCCTAATTTGCATCACATTAGCAAGATTTGAATCTCAATACTTTCATGACAACAATAAACAAAATTTTTCCCATTTATATTAGCCTACTGAAATGCAAAGAGTTTACGGTTTAGATATCTGATAAGTAGTTTCAATAAGTCGAAGGTCTGTTAATATCTGTTCTAAAGCATTACATTTTGCTTACTACAACATGTGTATTTTCTATTGACAATATTTACTTTTCCTTAGATGGCACTCATTAAGTGCTATGCTGTCCACGCTGAAGTGGGAGTAAGTTCCACTAAAGGGTGATTTTACTTTTGATGTAACCCAATTTAACATACATAGTAAACAGAGATGTATGCCTTACAAACAAGAGCAACAGTACAGATTTATTTTATATGCTATTATGAATTGATGACATCCATTCTTGCAGAAATGGGCTCCCTATTCTTCCCTCCACCTGATGTTTTGTGCACCCCCCACCCCAATTTGCTTGAGACTGTCCCTCCTCAGCCCCCAAAAGCAGATGGGGAGGTGCAGGATCTTAAAGGATACTAAATCAAGATTACAGGAAGAAATCTAAGGC